ATTTCAAATTAGTTAATCTAAATTGAAAAACAGAGCTACTATGCATTTCAAAATATCAGATGCTTCACTATTTTTTGAATAACTTTTGATAGAAAAATCATAGAGATCTGTGATTTTCACCATTGAAGAGAGAAGATCCGAGTCCATCGAAGTATATCGAAATTCGATTGATTAGCAATTGAGCCGTTAGATGAGATTTTCGAAAACAGTATCCTTAAGTTATTTCATCTATGCTTCAGACTTTCAATAGAACTAATTGATGGAAAAAATTCTTCTTTTTCCATCTATACAAGGCCGACATTCCTAGCTTGTTTCGTTCGAGAGTTATAAGGCTTTTTCTGAGACTTCCGATTTCAGTCAATTGATATATGATCACTTGGCGAAGTAGCTAGGCAGTGATAACTCGCCATACTAAGTCGAATGGTAATATTTATTTTTAGATTTGAAATGATCTGACTCAGTTATCTCAATATTTCTGAAATGTCGACTACTTCGTTACATGAAGGCTGATTGTGAAATTACAGAAAAATTGAGATAACAGAGTCAAATCAGTTCGAACCTAAAAATATATATCACCATTCGACTCAACATGGATAATTACCCTTCCCTACCTGCTTTTCCCAGTGACCACAAGTCAATTGGCTGAAATTGAAAGTCTCAGGAAAAATCTGATAATTCTTGAAAGAAACAAGCTAGGAATGTCGGTCTTGTATAGACCGACAGAGAAGAATTTTTCTATCAATTCGCCATGTTTTCGAAAATCTCATCTGATTGGTCAATTGATGACCAATCAAATTTCGACATACTTCGATGACCTCAAATCTACTCTCTTGAATGGTGAAAACCACAGATCTCTATGATCTTTTTATAAGAAGTTATTCAGAAAACAGTGGAGCATTTGATATTTTGAAATGGATAATAGATATTCAATTCAGACTAAGAATGGACAATTTTGATTTCATAAAGAGCATTGTCTTTGTCTATCTCTTATTCAGATACGAAGATATGATTAATCAACGTTTTTTATTTAGATTAGATAAACAAAAAAAAAATATTACAAAACAATAGGTTGTTTTTGTAAATGGCAATGTTCTTCTAAATATCTTACAATACGTTCACAATCAATTCCTTCACGTTGTATATGAAAATAACCATTTTGTGATAGATCAACAATAGTTGATCCACGTCGATCATTTGATGCTAATAGACCAGCATCAATAACTAAATTGACTTGTGGCCATAATGTTTTAAATTCTTCAATGCAAAGTGAACTTGATTCATTAGAAATATTCGCACTAGTTAATGCAATTGGTTGATTTAAACGTTGTGCTAATTCAATCATAAATTGACAATTTGGTATACGAATAGCTATATTAGTTACATTTGAATTGAAATAAGATGGTAATGATGATTGTCGTTCAAACATAAGTGTTACTGGACCAGGAAGAAGATCACCAGTAGCTAATTGTTCTTTCGTTAAAGTTGGTTTTGCCCAAGTAAATATATCATCAACATAACCAACAGCTATTGCTAATGGTTTAGTAAATGATCGTCCTTTTATTTCATATATTCGTTGAACAGCTTGTTCACTATTAACTAATGCAGCAAGACCATAAATTGTATCTGTTGGTACAGCAATAACACCATTATTTTTTAAAATTGAAATACATCGATCTATTAGATTATCTTCATTTACTGATACTATATTAGTAGTTGACATGATTTTGTTTTTTTGAATGAAAGAAATAACAGTAGAATATATGTTTGATAATTCGAAGAAAATTTATACCAATCCATGAAGTATTTAAATTTAGAATTACATTTGCTGATGCAATATTACAATTTCCTTTCACAATCAAATATTTATTTACATCAGAATAATTTCTTAAGTTACCATTGAAAGGACAATGATCAATTCTCACTTCTAGAAATAATTTTTTTTTTCTTTTAAATATAATTTGGACCTAAATTTTTTTTTACTTTTTACTTGTTCAATAAATCAATGAAGTAGAAGTGTTGCTAGGGGTCGCTCTTGCATGATAACAATATACTAATATCAAATAAGTTATAATTTTAATTATGCTCGTGTTATCAGCAATTAACTAACGAGAGAATCTCTTCAGATGTCCTCTTTCGATTTCAATGATTTTTTGCCTATAGATACTACATTATATTCTAATAAAAATTGTGAAACGATTTGAATAAACTATCGAGTTTTTAATAGATCTATTTTAGAGCTGCTAACAGGTCAAACCAGATCGATTGATGTTTTTGATTTTACGAATGTTTAATTTTAGTAATATATCATTTTAGTTCCAATTGTTTACTTAATGTATTTCCACAAAGATAAGATAATAAGAAACTCTTGCATAGAATGAATAACAAATTAAAACAAAGAGATAAGACAAAAATTTCTCATACGAGAGAGGCATAAATTAACAATGTTTTTGTTCTATTTAATAAAGTCGAAAAAGTGCAATCATGCTAGCACAAACAACATTTGTTTAGGCGTACAAGGAAGAGGTAAAAGAAAATACATAACGAAAATGTAGGGAATAAGCGATACTTATTATAATAGGAAAGGACATTTATATTGGGCAATCAATTTTTGCAACAGCACGCGCATAAAATTTACCATTCAATTGTTTCAGATCGAAGCAAGTTCTTCTGTAAGTCAACGTAAATTCTACGACACTAAATTGATATTGGGTTTAAGCGTTTGCTTCTGATTCGAATCAATTTGTCAAAGTATTCTCGAATAGTACTACAATCCGTCAACATTTGGTTTCCAAAACTTTTTGAGAGCCCGATCAGTAGCTCTGGTCTATTTTTTTAAAAGCCCTGTAGAATTCAAGGTTTTCAGAAAACTCGTATTTTCGAATTTCGGTCTAAAACTTTGTGTATATAGAGAACTCAACTAGACTAACTTCCATAAAAAAATTCAGAAGTTTTGAAAAAACTCTCTTCGAGATATGAAAAACTTTCAAGATATCGACTTATTTTCCATGGATAGTGTATACAACATGAATTTTTTTATGACACCTAGTCTAGTTAACTTCGAGTCATGACTTCGACTCGAATCATTCATTCAAAAAAATTAAAAGTTTAAAATTCAACACCAAAATCAGTATCAGAAGCAATTGATGATTCTTTGCAAGAAGAAAATATAATCAGTGATCTTCTTTTCCAAAAACGAAATTCTTATCAAAAACTTGCTAGAAAAGTCATGTGTGTATTTCTGTTATACCAGTACCACTTGAACGTATGTTTTCTTAGAATT